GCAGAATTCCGACTTTTTCGCCACAAGTTTAGAAAAAATGAATTTTCTCAACGGCAAAAGAAAATTAGAAAAAAACAAGCATAGTTTAAAGCTGAATTCAAGGAGAATTTAATGTTGGTCAAATGAGGACTCCAGTTATTCACACAAAACACTGGACAGATTTATAAAATGACCCACATCTATCCCCGATGGTTGCTTTCGGAGACAAGGTCTTAACTTCGAAATCGATCAAATACCATTTTTTAATTCAGTTTTCGACGCTGAAGTAGAGAAAACAGTTTGAGCATGCCGAATTAGCAAACAAGTCGGATACTGCGGCTGTTTTGAACAGTGGCTTTTTTGAGTTTCTCAAATTTTTCTTAGAAATTCAATCAAAAATAATAGAGCCGTATCAGACAAGGAATATCTGTATCTTTTCACTTCTTAGTAGATGTTCGCAAATGTCTTTCGCTGGATCTAGAACGTATCTTTCAGATTTTTGTTGCATTTCGGTACGTTTTGTTGATGTAAGTAGAACTGTAAAAGTTGCCGTTGCGTTGATTTAACGCTAACTGACAACACAGTTACCGTTGTTTTAACGGTAACTACCAGTTAGTTAACTTTGTGGTAACTAACTGAAGACTGAGAACTATGAGGAGATGGACAACTATGGTAAGATTGAGAACTGCCATGAGATTGAGAACTATGAGAAGATGGAAAGCTCTGTAAAGATGGAGAACCACATATGTTTTAATGAAATGCAAACTGTCAAAAACTGTTCACATTCTTCATACAACATTCAATATTTTATATTTTTGATGCATCAATAATGATATTCTGAATGTTTTGTTTTTTCACACAACATCAACTTTTACTATAAGTTTTATTATTTGTCTTGTAGATTTGTTCGATTTATTATGGAAAGTTTTCATTTATGCTATAATTATCTCCAACAGCAATTCGTTCGACATGGCTTTCAACAAGTTCCAACACAATTAGCTGATATTCTTCTTCCATCTGTTAACAATACTACAACTACAATTGCTGATAATGATGATGACAATAATAGTTTAGAAACAGCTGATGATATACAGGAAAGACATGAATTATATCGTGAATTATACTACCTTATTTTTACAAAAACAAAAAAAAATGGGTTGTGTGAACGGTAGAAAAAAAGGAACTTACAAATGGCCACCAATTATTAAACAATTGATTCGCTGTCGATATCCATCAGATATGAAAGACTATGGTTGTCATAAAGAATCCATCAAGTTTGGTTTGTTTTTTAATAAAGTTTACGAATAACACATTGTTTTTTCTATCTTAATTAAACAGTGTATTGAAAAAAGTGCTTTTTTGCATAGAAGCCATTTTTACAGAAAAGCAGATGAACCGTTCGTGTAGGCCTGAAGAAATGTTGGAAAAGCTGCTCTAAAATTCACACCATATATCTAGATGGCGTCCCTGTGCACTTCTATATGTCGAACATGCACTATTGGATGCATCTCGATAAGTACTTTCATTTCAAATATAATATACCTGTGCTTCATGCCAACTACAAGTAAAACCTGCTGTAGGCGGCGCCACATGTTTTAATAGGTGTCGCCACCTGCACCATTGAATGCAGCTCGATAAGTACTTTCCATTCATATGTAATATGTCTATGTTTTATGTCAAATACAAGCATTAGGTTGAAAAAATATGTTCTACGCAGGGCGATCTCCAGAAAACCTCTGAAAACCCTCTCAAAAACCATTCGTATTGTGTTAAATCATATATATTCTGAAAGCAGACACTTCAGGCTATCTGTTCATGTGCTTATCTCAAAATCGATTTATTGACCGAAAATCATCATTTCTGAGGGGGGGGGGCTCTTAAACTGTACATTGTTGTTTTTTTCCTTTGAGAGCTACACGTGTTGTGAATGAAGTGTAAATATTTTGATTTATTTTAATATTCATTCCTAACGGGTGTAACAGACATAAACGCACTTTTTTATTTTTGCTATAACTTCGTCGGGTTTTACCCGATCAACTTAATTTTTTTTTATTAGATTTGCCTTGAAATTCTCTACAAAAACATGTATTTTTATTAATGAAGATAACCGCCGTTAATTTTTTTTAAACGGTGCAATCGCTTCGTCCAACTTTCACAACTTTGTAAAACTATTTCTGGCCTAATTTTTTTAACAACACGTTTTAATTCTTCAATTAAACTTTCTTTTGATCGAGCAGCACTCCAATTAATTTGTTGTACAAATTCGGACCAAATACTGTAGTCCAAGGGGCTCAAATCGGGACTATTTGGTGGCCAACTATCTTTGCCGATTATTCCAGGCATATTTTCATAACACCATTCCAGTGATAGTTCGTGTGCATGAGGCCTCGCGCCGTCCTGTTGGTATGTTCAATTGTCAAAGGTCCATCTAGTCAGCACATTTGAAAGCGTCTGTGTTTGTACAAATAACGAAAAAAGGCAGTTGCGTTGAAAAATCGAATGTTTCTCATTCGTTTAAAAAATGAGCTTTTTTACATTTTTCGAGATTTTTGTAAGTATTTTTTTGAATCTTTGGTTTCGGAAAAGTGACTTAACAACTTTTCAACACTCACAGGTTTGTAGAGCTCGACGAGGTCTATCGAACTATGCAAAGATGTTCAAGAAAAAATGTTTATTCTGCACTGGAATGACTGGCGCCTTATCTTTCTACCCCAAAAAAGTGTACAATTTCTAAAACTTTCTTAAGTTCAACACTAAAATGCTTTGATAAAACTTACTATTTAGCATCAATAAATCCCGTTTTCGACGGGCTTTCATCTGGTATAAAATTCATTACTTACCTATTCGCAATTATAGCGTTACCCTCCTGGAAAAACATTTTTACGCACCCTGTACATATCAAGCGTTATGAATATACAACCAAGCTATATTTTTATACAAAAAATTTAAAACAAACCAAAAAGATTCTGGACCACTTCAATAATCATGCCACCTTTACGCGGTGAAGTGGATAAGTATCCTGTTGAGTAACGACCTAGATTCTCATTACGAGTATGAACAGGAGCGTTACTGGAAAGATGAAACCAAGAGAATGTTTTTATATCTTTTCTTGACTTTTTTTACGATAAAATTGAATAACTATAGGCAATATGTACTTTTTTAACGCCCATCCCACCATTTTGTTTTTATTTGAATTTTGACTAAAAATCTCCAAAAAACCAGAAAATCTTTGAATTTGAATTTTGACCGAACAAAATCTAAATTTGAATTTTGTCCAAGGAATTTCTGGTCAAACTTTAAATTTGAATTTTGTCCCGACAAAATTCAGATTTAAATTTTGTCCTTACTAATTAATTAAGTTGTAACATCAATTTTGACTCCTTATATTCTGCTGAACCCGTCTATCCATAAATTTACGTAGTTTTTAGTGCTAGCAACCTCAGTGGACTCGGAAGTTTCCGTGTTAGAGCCACTAGCAATTGACATAAATTAACTTCAAATAAACTCTTTTCTAAAGGATAAAATTCTTCACCATCTGATGGTAGTAAAATTATTTTTCAATTTTTTTTTACTTATTATAAACAATTTAAAAACAGACCAGTTTGCACTTTATAACTGTGTGGTACAGTTAAAAAATTTGGAGCTTTTCTTGTTAGGGTTACTGTGCCAAACATGAATGATGAACCTTAAAAATAGATCTTGTAGAGAATTAAATTGTCTATCGTTTGGTATATACAGGGTGGCCCACAAAAAATTTACCCCTTCTGTATTTATTGAGCTTCTTGTATACAGATATAATTGAACTGTTTGGCGTCAGTTTAGTCGAGTAGAGCAAAGATTTCTAGACAAAATGAGACGTCGCCGAGCTCTCTACGAGCTTTTCTCATGAAACAGCGTTCAATTTACTAAAAGTCCCATACCACCAAAATTAGCAAACTTAATGGGAAAAGAAGAAAGATACGCTCTAACGGCCTTCTGTAATTGAATGCTCTTTCTGCTGAGAAAAGCTTGGATACATCTGATTTTGTCCAGAAATCTTTACTCTACTCGACTAAACTAACGCTAAAAGGGTCAATTATATTTGAGCACAAGAAATTCAATAAATACAGAAGGGGTACCTTTTTTATGGGCCACCCTGTAAAGGAATTTTTTTTATAAACAGGAAACAAGAGAGAAATGCACCAAGATTTAGCGCAATTTATTCTGGGCCACCCATTAGATCGGTCATCACCTTAGTAATCCTCTAATAACAACAACAACAAAAGCGAACTAGTAGCACAGTAGACATTTTTCCATAGAACAGGCGAACATCTGGTTTTATGAATTAAAAAATGATTATTTTCGCATAATATTGTCTTATTATGTGTCAGATTTTAATCGAAGTAAGAACAGTCAAATTCGAAAAAAATTCTTTTCCGATGAGAAATCTCTGAGGGCACCTTTCCTTTGAATTTTGTCAAATAATTTTTTATTTGTAAAACTAATAAATGGTACATCAACCGTTGTAGTTTTTCACGCAGAATCTGAATGTATAAAAATTATTCAAGTAAAGTAACATATAAGGGTAGAAAAGTCCAAATTACCTCAAAAACAAAGGCTTTTTAGAAAACTCGTAACTATCGGCAGACAAAGTTGTGAGATTTTGTGAGTATACTACAGCTACAAGGATTAACCGACGTCTGAGCGACCGACATTTGAGCGCTGACGTTGAGCGACCGACAATAGAGCGACCGACACTTCCGAACGATATGAAATCCGAGAGAAGTTTTGTGGTGAATAGCCATTATACGATCCAGTAACACATGTACAGTTTCCCATAATGAATATATGTTTCTTGTGGAACTACTTTTCGAACTCACTCTCACACTACCCACACCCCCACCTCCTACAGCACACTGCCCAAAATACCCAAATGTGTACTACGAAAAATTCGTGAAAGAGTCGAGTCCTGTTCGCAGTAATGTCGGTCGCTCAAATGTCGGCCGCTCAGATGTCAGTCGCTCAAACGTCGGTTGACGGCTACAAGATATACTAAGGAGGTGAAAAAATAAGTAAGAATGCACCTCCGCTAACTCGCGCGTTTTGATTATACTGTACACCTCTGTTTTCCTAGCGTTTTCCTTATATCACCGCATTTTCTTTCTTCCCTAAGGAAAAGTCACAGAATAAAAATTTTTACGCCATTCAATAGCGCATTTAATGTTGTATATTTGATACTATTTAAACCACAGAAAAGCTCACTTTCTATTTTCAACCAAATGTCTGCCTACATGCCCACTGTGCTACGGTAGACTCGTTATATTAACATATCGTGGAAAAAATTATTTCGAAAAAAGTGACACATTTATTATTCTTTCTCTCTTATCTTTAAGTAAACAATAAAGAGTTTTATTGTCATGTTATTATTCTGTCTTTGTTATATTTCACACTTTTTAAAATATGCATTTTCTACTCTGTATCAGTCTTTTATTCTTTAAATTTTTAAATGGACAACCCATAAATCAAAATATATGTCCAGCCGGTTTAATTTCTAAACCGGACGATGAAAGATGGCCACTAATACCTCAAAAATTTGAAATTATGGGCGAATTGGTACTGAATGATGGAGCGCTTGAAATCACTCAAATATTTTCTTATAATCGCGACACAGTTTATTTAACAATAAACGGGGTAGTATTTAAACATTATTATGATTTCAGTACAAATGAATATCTGACAATATCAACATTCATTTATGAAGGTCTAGCTGTACCTTTATGTGCAAGAGTACCAATCACTAATCAATTTCCGACTAGTAACATTTCATCAACAATCCTAAAACCATCCATATTATTAGGTTATGATAGAAATAATATGGTTAATAATGAATTTGCTACGAGATATGATGGTGAGACAATTATAAATGGTTTGCCAGTTAGTATATTTCGATCATGTTTCTATGTATCTGATATTCAAGTAACAGTAAATGCAACATATTATTTTACTAATCCATGGAAATTTCAAAGTTATTTGGGACAAAATAAATCACTTCTCTTACAAATTGATGTTCTCAGTGAAACTGGTAGTGGTGAAAAACTGAATTACATTTATAATATTGTTCGTTATCTTCCAAATCCAAGCAGTGATCAAGAACGTCAACTATTAGAAACACCAGCTGGTGTTTTTTGTTTGAATCGTACAAACACAAAAAACTTACCAAAAAATTTTCCACTACGTATGTCAATTAATACTGAAACATCTATAATACAAACAAATAATACGTCAATTTACAGTGATTATCAGTTAGTTGATGAACAATTAGATTTTGTTCGTATTGATTACTATTCCCATGATCGTCATTCTCGAGACATTTTTGATTATTCAACAGGTTTATATTATAAATATTTACCTCAAATACAACAGTGTATAGTCTCTAATCTCTCTGCTGAAGTTGGTATTTCAACGACAGATCAAAATAGAACTTATGTTCGAATGAAAACTATTACTGAATTATTATTGTTAGATAATATTACACAGTATCATTATACGGGTATTAAAAATTGTCATGATCGTGTACAATGTGATGTATGGATTGGCCAAAAAAGTGTAAATAATATAACGGAACAATTTGAATGGTATTGGGCAAGAGAATTTGATGGCAACCAATTGGAAGAAGTTTTACCAATAAAATTGTATATAACAATTACTCCAGAAAACATAATCCAACGATATACAGTAGAAACTAGTATGTATATCATCAATTTCAAACTAGAGTGCAGAAAAATCTTTCTATTCTCGAAAATAAATGAGAAACACCTACTATCAACTACGATGAGTCTCGCGATAGTGTTCATTTTCAAACAAGAAGGTTAATAATCTACTGAAATTCTATATTAGATGAGATAACCCATTTTCAGTTGTTTCTACCAAAAATTAAAAGAATTTCTAATTCATTCAAAACCGATCCATACTCTTTCCGAATCTCAAGATAGACTCTATTTTATCTTTTGAACATGATCCTGTGCTATCAGGATCAGTAAAGAGTACATTGTCATTTCGAAAAATTCCTAGAAAACTTTACAACTACTCAAAATATTTTCTGTTGGTTATTAAAATAATTACTATACTCTTTGGTATAGTGCAGACAAAATAAAGTATATCTTGAGATTCTGAAATGGTTTCAATAGATTTTTAGTAAATTACGAATACTTTGATTTAATTGAAGATGGATTATCTCATCTACTACAGATTTTCAACATATTATTGAATTTTTCTTCAAGAATAAACACCGGCGCGAGTCTTATCGTAGTCGATAACCTATGTTTTCTATTCATTTTTGAGATTATCATAGCTAACGATATATGAGTTCTCAGACTCTCGGAAAATTCGGTGCTTTGTTGATTCACATTTTGAAGAGGATACTTTGGTCTATCTATTGATGAAAGAAAACAAAAATATTTAGCTACGTTTGAAATGTTCAGTTGGTTTTCTAAAAGCTTCTTCAGAAATTAGACTTTGGAAGAGATTTTTACGAAAAAGTTATTCAGTAGCGCGTGCGCCAACCTTGGCTGTCAGATTACTTTTGTATAATACCGTTTTTTTTTATAAAACTTTAATTTTGAGACATTTAAACTGACAATTTTAAATATTCTTTTGCAAGCTTTCGAAGCTTCACGCTTCATCAATCACCTTCCATTAGTTTATTGGTGAAACCTTTTAGTCAATCAGTTTTGTACTCGTCATTCAAAATAATAACGTTTTAAATGAGATTTCATTGAATGCCAATGTATCGAGTTTTTTCGTCAACAATGTCTCTTTGATTTCCCTTTGTTCTTTCATGCTTTTCGAATGTCAGTACGCTTGGTTCATTAAAATTCATGGTATGCTTCAATGTTCGAACATGATCTACCATAGCCGAATGCACCTCTCTCTTCTCCAGATTTTCAACGTACTTTTCCATTCTTGTTTCGACACTTAATCCCGTTTGACCTATGTAGACTTTATCACAATCTTACACTCAATGACATAAACAACACCGACTTTTCTGAAACTATCTCCTTTCATCTGTCTATGAAAGTCCTGTCCAATTGTTCTATGCTATCTGAATATTATCCGGTATTTCACATTTCCATTTCGTAAAACTTTTGCCAATTTTCTACAGAATATGAATGACTCATTTCCCAAATAGCTGAATACCAGATTTACTGTGTCCTTATCATCCTCTTTCAATATATGTGGTGTGGTAAGACTGCTTGTTTGCATATTATTCATACTGAAATCAAATTGGCATTTTTGAGATTTTTAAACTTCTTTTTAAGTAAAATTTTGAGATCTCTCGTATATGTGAAAATAAAAATGATAGCCGAGAGATCTCAAAATTTTACTTAAAAAGAAGCTTAAAAATCTCAAAACTGCCAATCAGATTTCAGTATCAATAATACGCAAACGAGCAATCCTGGCTGTCGTTTTTATTTTCACATATACAACTTTTCTAAAATTGATCATTAATAAGAAAAGATTCTGTTACGCACGAGAAACACATCGAGTATTTGTGATGAGTTTCTTGAAGATAAAGCCTGCTAGATTAAGGAGAAAAACTTTCGTTTGCGCTACAGGGCAACCTGTTCAGCCAGATAGGGTAGGGCCAAAAAAATTTTATGAGTAACTTTCTGACAGGGCAGGGGGATAAAAGTTGCCCTGCTGTAGTCTCTGATATATACACTGTTTTTTTCTCGAGTTATGAATAAATTTTGCCTGATGATGAAGCGAACAACTTCGAACGTTTGCAAAAAAATGTTTAAAATTGTCAGTTTAATTGTCTTAGTATTAAAATCTTGGCTATCTCATGTGAATAGTTTCTTTCAAAGAATATTCAAGCGAGAGTTTTTTGCACTATTTATTAAAATGAATAAAGGGTAGACACATTATATCAAAACCTCCCGACAATAAAAGATCCTTCTTGAATTGATCTTGTAAAAGTTGAAATAAAAGTCTTCTCTATTTTTCAGTTTTTTATTTGTAAGTCTTGCAAAATTCATAATGAATATTTCCTATTAAAAGTAAATTCTCTTTTTTACTGAGCACACATAAATATTCGCATGGAGAACCAACAAAGGATTATCCTGAACATATGATAATATGATAAAATGTGTCTTTTCTTTTTCGTTCATTAGGTGCTATAAAAAACATAATACATGTGATAAGAAATGCGTGCATGAGTCGAATGAGAAGAAAAAAAAACGGTCAATAACCACTATTCTCGCATTCTCTCATTGACTCGTAATACTCTGTAATAACTGAGAGAAAATTCAAATTTGCTCAAAGCATAAACTTGAAAAACAGCTTCCTTTTACGAACACAATAGAGGATCCGTCCTAAAATTTTTATTCTTAAAAACAGAATAAAATAGAAGAGCCGGATCTTTTATTGTGTCATCCCCTTTAGTGAAGACGAGTGCAATTCTACTTTTCATCAAATTATTTCTAAGAATATTTTTAGGTTTTCTTAATTATTTACCTTCTCCAGATACATATAGTGGAATTGATTCAACATTAGCCGATTGTTATCGTGCTTTAGGACCAGGTAACGGTTATAATTATGCTGTTCTACGTTTTGCAATTAGTAATGATGATGGTTATCCTGTTCATAAAAATATTTTATATTTACGAAACAATATTTTAAAGGAATTAGCATCTTCTATGCTAGTAAGACAAGTACGTTTTTCGAATATTATTATTGATCATGAACGAAGTGAAAAAGATTTATATGTAACATTTACAATGGTTGATAATCCACCAATATATGGTCCAGTTGCACATCCATTGCGTGAACCAACGTCCATTATTCTTATTCAACGTTTGGAATATGTTATTAATAAAAATACATTTAGATTTAAAGGAAAATATGATGATACAAAAGAAATTGAATTAAAAGCAAAACCTCATAGTTTACAAACATTGGTTTTATATACATTTCCAACAATTAATAATACAATTTATGTAAATCAAACAGAAATTGTCTATCATAATCAAACAGAAACCATTGTCGAAGTGAAAGAAGTAATCATAAAAACATATACAAGTACTAAAATAACAGCATTTTGGATTGGTTTTATTTCACTGGGTGCTGTGATTACAGTGGTAATTGGATTGATTATTATTAAAAAAATGTAGTTTTATGACATTCAGTTACGTTGACAAAGGCAATAAAATTCAATATTCACATTTAGTAAACATTTTTTTTGTAATCGAAAAGACATCTAATGTATACAAAGAAAATCTTATATTCTCATGCTTTTTCGCATAATATTAAATGATATAATGACATTTTGAAAAGAGTGTTAACTGAAGTATATTAAAAACAGCTTGCTAGCTACCTGTGGAAAGAGCAAAATGTCTGGTACAAAAATAGCAGAGATGGACGAGTACGAGTAAATACTCGTACTTGAGTACACTTGATTACAACAAGTTTTGGATACTCGTACTCGTACTCGCGACTTTTTTTGAAGAATACTCGAAAAAGTACTCGATCGAAAGCCTTTATAATCTACTATGGATTGCCAAGAAAAAGAGTAAGTTCTATGCTCGAATTGTAGTATAATTCTATAAGAAAAATGCATGATATAATCAATATGAAAGTAATAAGACTGTTTATTGATTTTGTGTTTTGATAGTTTAAATTTCAGAATGATATAATGGGAATTTATATTCTCGATTTCGTTCTGGTTCAAGATTAAAGCTTAAACCCAAAACAAAACACAATAAAAAATACACATTGAAGGATAACATCGAGTCATTGCACAACTTCAATCATTGTGCAGAATATAGGAAAGAACAGCGAAGTTGATTTTTGCAGTTCGTCTGCAAAGATCAAGTTCGT